TGGATTTATTCACATTCCATTTTATTCTTGTATCGCACCATTGCTTAAAAGTAATATGAATGTCAGTTTAACACTTAGCATTGTAAAAAAAAAGTATTAATGTGTTTTTATTTATTAGATTTGTGTTAAAAACAAGTTTTGCTTATAAAATCCACCAAGCATTGATATGTTTACGCTAAGGGAGTTCTTACAGAGGAATGTTTCTGTTTTAAAGTTCAAATCTTGGATAGTATCATATTTCGCTTAGAACTTTTAAGTTCTAAACTAAATATTTGTCACTTTTGAAATTAAATCAATTGGCAAGCATAAATTAAGTTATTGGAACAAAACCTAAATGATCAGTGATTAAATATTGAACAAATGTTGCAACCAATCTAAAGTATCATATCATAAAGTGATGTGAAAATATACACTTCAACTGTACATGTGGTCAAGTAATGGCAATACATGATGCAGCCTTTTAAAATATTTCTTTATACATAACGTTCTCAAACCACATAATGCGAACTATGTCGCATTACTGCATTCCAAATTATATTATGTAAATATACTTGATATCCCAAGGATATGTCGTTCCACCAAGTCTCAATAATATGAATTTGAAAACGATAATATAATTCAACAAATTTAATTTAGTCGCATCACGTTAAATGCGGCATGTTTTTCAAATATACTTCAAGTCCTTGGGTTGTGCAGAGCTTTCATTTTCTTTATATATGTGATGGTTGGTCAGGATGTACATCTGCAATGAAAACATTGTGTACAGCATTTTCTATTCTCAGGGTTGAGGCTTGGGCAGAAGGAACACCTCTGTGTATTGCTCTTGGCCAATTCACCCACCATTCAGCAACCTTTCATTAATCTTTCATCCTCCCCAACTTCAACACGATCAGCAGATTACATGGTTTACACTTAAGCAATTTCATATCCTTGGTTACCAGTAAAAGTTATTTATTATACAGTCAAAGCATTGGACCTTACACCTTTTACATTGTTAATATGGTATCTCACATACCACCTACTGTAGACTGTTTGCAAACAAACGAATATTGACACAGTCCTGAACAAAAACAACAATTTACATTTATATTGTCTATATGCAACTGCATTTCAAGAAGCTTTACAAGAGTGAGGAAGGTGGGGGAGGGGGTGTAATGGCAGGGAAAACATGGAAAGGAGTAGAGAGAGTGCAATGACACTCAGGGCCCAGAACAAATGACAAAAACAAGCTTCACAGACAGCCATGGCAGTCAAGACAGCACCACTGAGTAACAGGGCAGTCTAAATGCGACCTGAAGCCCGTCACCAATGACGCAGCCTCTTACATCCATTATGCCTGTGGACAAAATTAAGAGATTAAGGTCCACCATATATTTTTACATTTAACTTAGAGGTTTGTGAGCATGGTGACAACAGTCAAATCTATAATCCACACTTTTTTCTGGATAACAATGAAATTGAATTCCCTGGCGCTGCTGAAAGATGCATTCTATCGCAAAAAAATGATGGTGGTGATGACGCTGCTGATGTTGACAATGATGATAATTGTCATCATCATGCTACTTAATGCCAGGAAAGCTTCTGCGTCTCAATACTATTTTTTTAGGAGGTTCCTTCATTGGGAGGTTGGGCAAATCATTTTTAAAAAGTGTCTTGCACATAAGAAAATATATCAGTACCCAAATAAATCCACGTATGTGATAATATTCAAAGCCCCCACATAGATCTGTTCACATGTAGTTTTTCCTCCCTCCACCCGCCTTACTTCAACACAGATAACATGTATTTAACTCTACTGTACTCGATATGGTCGGTAAAACGACAGTTACATCAAGGTCTGTCATTGCTATGCATGGGAAGCCAGAAATATTTTGATGACCCTTGTGATAGACATGATGAGGAATAACAGTTTTTGCTTTATCATTAGTCTATGTAGCACATACCAAATACTGTATGAAGAAAAGGACATGGCCGAAAATGATGCGTATGCCACTTTCAATAACTGGATTATTGTGAAATAAAATCTTACTTGAGATATTAACCATGGATTATCTGACAGCACATGTCATGTTGAGGCAGTTGTTAAAAAGAAATACAGGTAAACGTGGAAAACATTAAGTTAATTAGTACATTATAGTTGGCCTGCCTGGCATGGGTCCTTTGCACTGTTTGCCTGATTTTCCCAAAGCAGTTTACATGTAAATTAACAAACGCCATATACAATACTGTAACTAAAATCCATGTAAGGTAGAGAGAGGTTTGTACTGTTCAGAATTTATGTAGTAATGTATGATTGAGAAATTTTTAAATGTCTAGGATCTTGCCTCAAAGTTAGCACAAACCATGTCTCTTTAGATTGGGTGTCTTTTCTACGACAAGTGTATTTGTATAAACATAACATTTTCTATTAAGGACTTAGCATATTTACGCAAATATTATTTACAGGGAACTCATATCTTTCATGAGCATTTTTGTTATTGGAAGTCATGCTCCTTCTTATGCTTACACTGCTGATAATTTTTGTTGTCATAATTTATGATAGGGGAAATAAAATCGTGGAAAAGGATCGGGTATTCCATTATCATAAAATTCCTGTTCATAAAAAGTAAAATGCCCGTTTCTCGTCTCGTCGACAACATTCCCCATTGCTGTGCTGGGACCAGTCTCTTATAAGCCAATCATTTTTTTTCATCAATGTTCACTTTTCCAAGGCTGAAGGGAAGATTAGCTGAGTATATCGCCGACAAGTATTTAAATGTGGTACTGTATGTCGCATATCCAACTCGCCGTGAACAGACGTACAGGCGGATGTGTGAAATGGTCAGATATGTGAATACCAAGCCGAATGAGCTACACCATGCCCCAACTATGACAACGGGTGTGGGTGATTAAATGTCAAAGCAGATATGCAAATATGTGACTTTGTACTCTACATATAGTTTAATGTTATGGTTTTTACCATTCTAGTACAGTATAACATTATTATTATTATTCAAATAAGGCCAAGGTATCCAAGCAAACTCTAATGGCTGCAGTGTTTAATATTCATGCTGCATTTTCAACACTGCAGCAGCTTAGAGACATCACTAAACAGCAGAGGTGTGGACTCGAGTCATGTGACTTGGACTCGAGTCAGACTCGAGTCATGAATTTGATGACTTCAGACTCGACTTGGACTTGCATAACAATGACTTTGTCCCACCTCTGCTAAACAGTACCCATATTATCTGCTAAAGTGCAAATACTGCACACCTACCAATTAACAGTACAGTAGTAATACATGTACAGGCATCAGGTTCGTAATTTACTTTGTCCTTGTTACAATAATAAACTGTAAATCAGTATGTCAATTATTTTTGACAGGACAACCCAAGTCTCAATAATGTTTTCAAGAGAGCAGCATTGGGATGTTTGACCAGTTCCATGAATGTGTGTAGACTTATGTGGGAGTAAATAGAACCCAGATACATGAAATACTATTTCTAGTACAGAATATATTTGCCATTAGGGATTGTAATTATACAGATGTGTATAAATGCAGTAAGTGTTACCATGTTGTTTTTGTATTCGGCATTAGTGATATAAAAATATATATTTATGCCAAATTAATGGCTTGTCAATCATCGTTAGCCATGGCATCAACCAGAGCCACCGTGATCTCTTGCGGTCCTGCTGTGTTGACAATCCACATAGCAGCTGGACATGAGCCGATTTCAGCGCTCTAACTCCTGGGTGGATGTACTCTCCGTTCGCTTTCCATTCATTTCTTGACTATCACCCCCGTCATCATTCTTGACTGCGCAAGTATTTTTTTCACACTTTTGCACAGATGCCTCGCATCGCGTACACAAACTCATGCGACATGTGCTGTTAGCAAGAAGGGGGGTAGAGGTTGCAAGCGTGACACGCACGGCTGGCTGCCTTCGCCTCTCCCCCAGTTTATATGTTTACACACCACAGCAGGTACTCATTTAAGGCCGAGTCGTCCCAGGGGAGACACAGAGCAAGTTTTATTACAATTCGCCACCGACTTGAAACGTGAATAATCACTGCGGTGGCCGGGTTCCGAACGAGGTCCGTCAACAACTGCACCACCTCCCAACCACGTTTTGTAATACAATTGTGCAAAAGGTTTTGTTTATGTGTGTGCGTGATATACTACGTTGGCAATGGGGCGCAAATAATCAATAAAACCAACACATTTGCCAATAACACGGCCATAAAAGTCAACGAAACGCGGGATATGTACCTCGAATAAACGACGTTTCGGGCAATGTGGCTTCATAGCATTTCGATGGATCTCCATTTCCGTCCAGATTGTATAATGTGCTAAGTATATACAAATATACCGTGTGTGTAATATATATAAAAGTGACAACTTTATCTGGTTAACCTGGATTTCCCGTTATCACCTAACTCCATCTCCACGAGAAGTAACAACACTCACAACGGTAGACAAAGGGCCCTTGCCCGAAACGTCGCCACCGCCACGTGTTCCCTTTTGAGAACACTGTGCTATTGACGGATGTGTGCGTAGTTATTTACGTATTGTAAAGTATTTATCGACGGCTGATGCCAACCACGGCGATGTATCGATGACCCAAAAAAGTGTCGATATTATAATTCGGCGCGAGAGAGACGAGCGGACTTCACACGAAACAAACGCGTTAACTAATGCGCGCGAGGGGCATAAGCAATTCGTTTGAATAGCTTAGCCCAAATGAAAACGGCCGATTTGTGGTTAATTGATAATGTTATTGATCATAATCGATCGCGACTAATCGACGAGGCAGTAGCGGCGACGTTGACGGCCAACTGTAAGTCGTAGTGCGGTTAGGGAGGCCCCGCCTCCTGCTTTTGCGCGTCGACCAATCACAGGCGCCGCTGTCGCGGCTTGGCTCCGCCCTCTCGTTGGCGTTCAGCCAATGGGGCGAGGGAACGCGGTGTGGGCGCTTGTGCGTGCTGGGAATTACAAACGGGGGTGTTGAGGTAAATTGTGCTTTAAAGTCGCGTGAAGTTTTATTTCTTTCTTTCCCAACTTTTAATTGAAAACTCGGTGAGTTAAGTGTAATTGCTTGTGAATGGTACAGCAGGGATTAACCGCGGGCTGACGGACCTAGCGATTGTTTTGTTGATGAAAAAAAAACGGTATTGTATGTTGAGCTTCTTTCGCACCGTACGTATAGGCATTGGTGCTTAATCGAATGTGTTTATGTGTCACTGGTTAAAGACTAACAAGTGTGGTTGAGATGCATTTGTATGCTAGACGCAATGTAAATGTAACGTTACGCTGTTTTACTACCTCGTATCCTCAGCACAAGGTACCGACTATGTCTCGATCTCCCGTGTGAATCGACACAGATGTTCAAGCTAATAACGCGGCTTTTATTATACCGTGCTGGAATCGTGAGGTTGGATAGGGCAAGTAGTAGGGTGTTGAGTCTCGCTCTTTGTTCGGCAAATGTTGACGTCTATTACTGTCCTGCAAACCATTTGCAATGCAATGTGCGTTTTTGTTTTTGTTCACGAAAAATACTTGTGAACGGGCTGAACAAAGAGCGGCGTTTAAACCTCAAAACAGCCTGCAATGTTAAGAAACAACCGAGTGGAGCGAAACAAAAAAAAAACTCCGCCTCTCATTCGCCGTCAATGCAATTCTTAGAAAGTAAAAACAAAAAGGGACGGAACAACTCGGAACCAAACGACGGCGGGGGCGCCTAGCGGTTTGTTTCCCCTCTTGTGGCGGCGATTGTGGGGGGGGGGGACCTGTTCCCCGAAGACGCCCGTGAACAACTACATCCGGCTCGCCGCTCATAAATATCCAACAATTTTTTCCTCTCAAACTCATGAATATTTAAATTTGACTAATTAATATTCATGTTGGAAGAGGGGGGGAGGAGCTTATATTAATATTCATGTGGGTGGGCGGAGCCTATCTAGGCCAACGGCGCGTGCGATGGGCTTTGGTTGTGGGGCGTGTTTTGCCTGGGCGCGTGGGTGGGGGGAGTTTGCGGTGTGAGTGGGCGGGGCTTAACCTCGATGTGGGCGTGTCTTGAGCAAGTGTGACCAATGGGAGGGCGACTCGCGGGGAGGGGGAGGAGCTAGTGGGGGGGGGGGGGTGGCGCGCGAGCGAGTCGCTTGGCGCACGCGGCCCCCGAGGTCGTCAGTCGCGAGCGGCGCTCGCCGTCCTTGGTCGCACACCGCGCGCGCGTGCGGCACATTTATTTTGTTTGTTTCGAAACGAAGCGTCACCCCCACCCACCCACCACAACAATTACGACCGATTTTTGCACGGAAAGGACCGAGGCGAGAGAACGTTGTAAAGCAAAAACATTGGGCACTGCTGAAACGATAAACAGGGGCTTGAAACGGCGTTTACCAAATCGCGTAGAGAACAATCGCAGCGGCTACGGCGCGAGTGAAGAAGGCGGCGCTTTGTGTTGAAATCTGCACGCGGTTTCGGGAAGGGGGGGGGACGACGACTCCGTTAAGCCACAAAGCTGCCGTCGCTACTACTACTACTGCTGCTGTTCGAAGTTGTTTATTTGTAATTGTTTTTTTGTCATTCCACATTTTTTTCGCCTTTGCAGTGCTCAATTTGAATTAGATTTTTTTTTTACAAACGCTCGTGGATCGGAAACCCGCTGGGCACAACAATCGGTCTTACAGGGACGGCCAAAGTGCACGGCTGCCCGGGCAGGAGGGAAAGGGCAGCAGCAGCAGCAGCCTCTGGGGGTCCAAGCCCCCCTGCTGCTGCTTCCAGCTGCTTCAGCCTCTTGGTGCTTACTGCCCTGCTGCCGTCAGCTGCTGGCTGGCTGCTGCTACCTAGTGGCGTGCTGAGTGGTGCCTGCTGCTGTTGCTACTGGGTTCCAGGGTGGTCCCTGGTGCCGCTGTTGGTTCCTCCTCGGACCATGATGTCGCAGGGCCCCCAGAGGACACGCCGAGGCGGCGGGGTGGTGGCCCCAGCCGGTGGCACCTGCTCGCCCACCCCGCCAGGCGCGGGTGGCCCGAGCCGGCCGCAGCCCCTGCGAGCCACTGTGCCCTTCCAGCTGAAGCACGGATCGCCGACCCGCGGCACCGCGCACCCCTCCTCGACGACGCCGGCTGCGTCGTCGTCGTCCACCGCCTCCTCCTCCTCGCCCGCAGCTTCGGCTCCGTCCCCGGCTCAGCCCCAGCAGCCTCCTCCTCCGTCCCCCGCACTGTCTCCGGCTGCCTCCGTGGCGGCGGCGGCTGCGGCGGCTGCGTCGTCGCCGACCCCCCCGTCAGGGTCGGCTTCCTTGGCGTGGGGGGCCGCCGAGCATGGGCGGCTGAGGCCCCGGCGTTCGCCAGAGCACAGGGACTCCCCCGAGAGGCGCAGTCCCAGCTCCCCCGTGTGTAAAGGTAGGCTGGCGAGGAGCGGCGGGCGGGTTGGAAGTGTTGTTCGTGCCACCCCCCCCCCACATGCTCCCACCAGCAACTTGCACAGACGTAAGCAGCATCACCCGCAAGCCCAGACAGGACAACCAATTTGGCCCCGCGTGTGTCTGTGTGTGTGTGTTGGGGAGGATGGGGGGTGGGTGGGGAAAGAGCTTTGTAGCACATCGGATTCGTCCAGTATAAATATGCTGAGGACATAGCGCCACCACCAACTTATATCATCGATCCGCCAGCCGGCACCGACTCCCAACTCTTATCTCTATCGACCACTAAGCGAACCCGCACGCTACCACCTCCTCGACTCACACAAAAAACACGAATTCCATCGACTCCACGCAACAAGCACAACCATAAACAATCGCCCCCCAAACCGCAACCTTCGCAACGCCGCCACCCCCAAACCCAACAACCCCATTTACCAACCTCAAACCCAGACGCGCGCATCAACAAATCCAGCACCGACGACGACGGCGGCTGTCGTCGCTACTTGCCCCCGCGTGTAAGTGTTTGGTGTGAAAGATATACTCTACTGTATACACACGTGCGTTGCAAACAGGCACGGGTTATGCACGAAGGTTCGGGGAAAAAAACCACACCAAACGTGGTTGTTTTATAGACGTTTGCGCGCACAGGTTGTAAACACGCTAGATATTGCATAGTATACGCATTTACTGTGTGTGTGTAGTCGTGCATGGTGAAAGTTAATTTAAACGCGTGCACAACTCGGCATTCGTTCATGCACACGCACAATTTAAGAGGCGGCGGGCGTACGTGGCACTGATGAATAACGTGGGCACATAACGGAAATGCTGCTCTGCGTTGGGGATAATGTGCACGCGTAATGCACACACACACACACAGCACGTACCACTGATACCCGCCCGCGCCAGCCGTACGTGCACTACGGTATTGTGTGTAACACGAACACCTCTACATGCGTACAGAGACAAAGACCCCCTCCCAATCCCGTGTAGCTTTGACAGACTTTTGGGGCAAGTGTTAGCGAGCATCTATTAAAGGCCGGCACGGCACACGAGGGCGGTGGGTGGTCAGAACCACTCCCGGCCGCCTTTGTCTCCCCGTGTGGCGATGTTTACACGTCGCACAAGGTACTCGTTTGTGGCTGAGTCGACCTAGGGGAGGCCCATGACCGGTTCAGATAATCGTCACTCGCGTTCGGTGGCCGTGAGCGGGAATCGAACTCGGGTGGTCGGGTTCGTAGCGCGGCGCGATAATCTGTATACGACCGTACGCATATACACCACCACATGGTAACACGAACATGCACATGCCTGCGTGTACACGCGTTAAAAACCAGGAGGAGTTGTCGGGGGGTAGTAGAGGGGGTCTCCATCGCGTTCCCGTCCCCCCCCCCATAGTGCCCATTGCCGGCAGCGTGAGCAGCTGGCTCTGGTCCCAGGTAGCCCAGGTGTTTAAGAGGAGCAAGGGGGGGGGGGGCCTGCCGGGGTCGGGAATGGGGGTTGTTGCTTATTGCTTTGGGGTTTCGGTCGAGGCGACGACATGCTTTGGGTTCGGTGCTGTTTTTGGATGGGGGTTGGTGGTGGTGGGGCTGGTGGCTGTTGCTGAATGAATGAAGACGTGTAAGTTAAATGGGCACCCCGTGTTATCTCTGAAACTGAGCCTTGCCAATTAGGACGTCGTGCATTGTGTGTGTGCGTGCGTGCTCCTCTTCACTGGCGTGGTGCAGGCCACGGCGTGCCGGCATTCACAGGTGCTCTCTAACAAGCACTTGCCCCAAACAGCCTGTGTAGGTTATACGGGGAGGGGGGGTTCTTTGTCTTTATCTTATTCACATGTCCCTACCGTTCAGCCCCAGCCTTGGAAGCCAAAAGGACTCTGTTTTTGTTACGCCCAAGCTCCCCCCCCCGTCTTTTTTAAAGCGCCCCTCTGCCTAATATCGCACTTAGAGACTGCTGCTGCTGCGACTGTTGATCTCACACATTGTGCTAGTTACCTGCCCCCAACCGCAATGTCTTACCCGCAGCATGTTGTGTAGGCAAGCGGGCTCCTTCTTGTGAAACATATTGCAATAGTTGTTTTTCGTTCGACGAAAGATCGGATCGTACAAATCAATGGGTGAAGAAGAACGTCTGTGAGTGTAGTTCACTGTAAATGCAGCACACGCAGACATGTGTGTGTGTGTTTCACTCGGTTTTCGGGCAAATAATTAACAGCTCCTAATTGTTGATTGAAGGCGGCCTCATATCATTGGGGTTGTTTGACCATATTTTACCACACTGCTCAGTACGGTTCAGGTTTGTGAAGTTGGGGGTATCACTCCCTAATTTAAAATCAGCCGCGGCGGTGGATGTGTCCACCACTGCACCACCACTCGACCCTTGTGCAGTATTATTATTGTATTAACAGCAAGCGTGGTTTATTTAAGCCAGGTGATAGGCCTCAGATATTCTGCAAGTTGCTTGCCTTTTTCTGTAGCTTGTCACTTTTTTGTGAGAGCGTCTTTCAATCTGCCCTACTCGTGTGTGTATGAGTGGCACCGTCACATTACCGTAATGTTGGCACGGTGACGTGAAAATAAACAAGTGGATTAAACAAGAGGTAAAAAAGATACCTCGCATTCCATACAGCAAAAGCAAAGCAGAATTTTATTTTCAGAAGGAAGGAACTCCAAGCACAACCCCCCCTGTCAGTGATTGCAATCAGCTGCAAACCAGCAGTGTTGGTGTGTGTGTGTTAATGGCGAGCTGTGGATATTGCAAAATCGCTGCAAGCGTGTTGTGGTGGGGTGGGTGCAAGTTCATCTTCAGTGGACGGCTGCCAAATCGTGAAAGGGGGTTTGCTTAACGTGTGTGCCCTTGCCTATGTGTCTTTAACAAGAGGAGTTGATGACGAAATGTGACATGAAACGAAGTTACTTTTCTTATACCCAAGAGTTTTCAACAAACATATAATTTGGGTACACGTATTTTTTGGGGTGTATTTTTTATCAATTGTAAAAAAAAAGTTGACCAAGTTATCAAAGTAGTGATCCTTGCTATTAAAACAAATCAAAATGAAAAAAAAATTCCCTTTCCTAGACTGTTAAATATATTAGTATTTTTAATCTGTTATAACAATCTCTAATTCCACACGTTTGGTGGAATGTTGCATTGAAGAGTGATCTTAATTGATCTGCTAATCATTAACGTCTGCATCTGTGAGAGGGGATTCGTGTAATATTTGGACAATATATTTAAAATAAATTGCAGATATGGGCATTTTTGCACATTATTCTGGACATTTGTGCAACCTCCGCCTGTGCCGTCGTGGCGAGATGTTAACTACCTCGCTTGGTACATCCTGACCCAGACATCTGCTGTATATTTGGAGTTTGCATGTCTCTCCCTGTGGTCGCGTGGATTTTTCTCCGGTTTAGAATATTTGGTTGCTATACATTTCCACTTGATAAGCCACTTTGTTGAGCTATCATTTGTGGCTAATTCGCTTCTGAAAAAGAGCAATATAGCTCAGTGGGCTTTACCTGATAAAATAAAAAATAGTTTGGCGATTTATAGACTGATTTCTCACAGCTGGAAAGTTATCAGAATATCGACAGTATGTAATTGTTTTTTTACTTCTAAAGTTTACATTAAATGAAGCATTCCACGTTTCCCTCAAACACGTGAAACATTGCAACTGAGCAGTCAGTACATTGTGGTCACATGAATAACTGTATACAGTTGTCATTGTTGGAAGATAAATCTATAAGATAATTGTGGAAAGTTCTACATTGCTTATGTAAAAGCTTTCCTGTTTTCAGAACCTTCAGTTTCTCATAATTAAATATTGCAATTTTGAACTTTATATTTTTCAAATTAGTATATTTGTATTGCTCTCCTTCATAACTACTCTTGTGATTTGCTTTTGACTCAATTTCAGTTTCATTTATTTGGTACAGCCCTGTGAGCCATTCGGCTCTTTATTTGGGTGCAACCGCAACAAACAAAAACATGAACAAGAAAACATCTTAAAGTGACTATGTACTAAGTGCAAACAGATAATCCAAGAAAAGACAGCAAAATATTGCAAAAAAAGCACCGTGTACACCAACGCTGTGTGCAAAAATTGCAGTGGGATGCAAGTCAAACAACAACAACTACCACAAGACAACATTAAGGCCATCAGTCTAACTCCGTCTACAACAAACAAACATGGCCAAACCAAAACAAGTTTTCGATTTCACCAAAATGAAGCAATGAAGTCTTATCTCACCGACTGTAATGCTGTATAAATACTGTATACATGTCCAAGCTGGAATATAACATTTCTGTCAACTAAATAAAAGCAATTGGTAGCTATAAGGCAATTTAAGAGTTGCCATTAATAGTCCAATGTGTTTAAATTTGCAAAGAATATATAGATCAGGTTAAGTTGAGGAAACCTACATTTGCTGCAATTTATACAGCACGTTTTTCTAAAGTGCATTCCTTCCTCCATTGTGTGAAAGCAAATGGCCCCATGTTTAAAGGAGTCACAACACACCATCTTTAAACAATTGATGTATTGAGTGAAGTAACAGTTGGAAGTGCGCGAATTTTCCCTCAGGCAGGGAGGACCCGCAGATGAAAGTTGTTGAGGAGTGTTAGCCTGCTGCTGCTGCTACTCCTGCTGGGGCCAAGGCTTTTGTGGTATCCTGGAAGCCATTTTGCTTCCAACATCAATGATTCATGCAAATAATTTGGATTATAGCACGAAGAATATGGGACATATAAAACTGTATTGCAGTAGTCACATTGTTCTGTTTTCACTAATGGTTGCCGTACCTATTTTTTGTAATAAAAAAAAATCATTTCCATTTGATATGCCGAGTACAATAACATTTACATCCACGTTAAAATGCATCGGGGTCATGATTGCACAGTCGTGTGTGTGATTAGATGTGCTAGGCCTGGTGTGTTTAAAAAAATATATACTAATAACATGGTACAGTTTATTTGGTATGAGAAATGCAATGAAGGAATTGAATATTATGGCCTATTGCCCCTCTTGTAGAGAAAGTGCAGCCTGCCATTGTTAGTCACCTGCAGGGAACCGCATGTGGTAATATTTTGTCATTAAGTTGTATTAGCACTTGGCTTTATTTCGGCAGTTTTATTGCAGAACTGGGGGGTGGAGTGGTGGCACAGTGGTTAGTGCCTTGTGCTATGAATGCAGCGACCTCAGTTTAATTCCCAGCCACAGCTGACATGAGTGGCAACTGATATCTCAACCTGTCCTGTGCCGCCCCCTTTACCGACCCGCCCTGACCAGCATGGTGAAGTCTGATCAAACGACACCCATTTTCAAAGGCTGTGGAAAGGCCTTCATCCAGCAATGGATTAATGAAGAGCTGTACATTACATGGCAGGACTTATTTTAAATGTGCAAAACTGTGATGAGAATAAAAGAAAAATGAAAATTCAATACCTTTCAAGTTTTTTTTAATGCAAGTGCAGCGATACATTTGATAGAACACCACATGATAATGCGTTCCATTTTGTATTTTCTTTTTTACAGTTGAAAAGAACAAGTTTCAGCATGCGCCTTCGCACATTCGACGTACATCCTCACTGGACACCATCACGGGTCCCTACCTCACAGGACAGTGGCCACGTGAGCTGCCTGGAAGGGGCTCTCCTTGCATGCGCGACAAGTCCACACAGGTGAGTCCCCATCGCCTGCCAGCCGTCACGCTCCCCCCTCTCCCAACTCCTCAAAGCTCTTTTAGCACCATTGAGAGCAAATCTAAAAATGGTCGCATTGCAGAATTTAACTATATATTTTTAGTCAGTTTCACTTACGTTTGTAGACTTTGAAAAGTTATTTTTATGGCTGGATTATGACAACTATTTTTAAGGGGTTGAAAAGTTACTGATTTTCTGTGCCTTTGAAATAGTACATCCGTTCTTCCTTGGATGCTTCCCATGCTTTGAGAAAAAACTAAAACATTTACAGGAATCAGTATGAAGCTTGCTACACAGCATACCAAAAGCATTGACATGTTTGGGCAAGATTGTCAACAAAATACGAATAAAGAAATCAGTTTAAGAAAAACTTTAGGTTCTGGTGGGTGCCAACATGATTAGTGTGCACGCATGCAACGCATGCTTGTGACTATAAGCACATGTGCATGTGGGGTAAGCTTATTTGCCGAGCCAACAGAGCACAAGACATCTTCTGCCCGGAATGCAGTTTTGTAATCACTTTTAACACGATGCAATATTTCAGTTTTTATATGCATGTGTGTGTCTAGAGAATTATCTCCTTCTCACATCGCTGGTTCCAGCAATGTCCCAGTGTAATTATTTCAAAAAAGGTTTGATTCCTTCATATAAAGTCCACACTTTATACAGTATGTAGCAATGGTGAAATCAAGAAGGCGTTCTGTTCCTTACCTAGTTTTTCCTCACAAGTTGCTGGAACTGCTTGTGGTAAATGGTCACGGGTAACGACGGACTGGCTGTGAAGGGATAGAACGTGTTCGAGAGGAGGTGGAGCGATTCGTCTTTCGTATGGCGGATGTAAATGCAGAGCATCAGCTACAATTTCACATTCAGGTTGTCAAGCCAGACAACCGCGTCAGGAGCAGCGGAGTGCATCGCTGTGATGTCTCCTTCATATTTGTGGATCGGGGCATTGCATCGTTTTATGTTGTATGGTCTGTTTTAGATGACCACAGTCGTGCGCAGGAGAATTAAAAAAATTTCATTTGTGCATCAGGTATTCGCATCTGCCATGGTTTGTGCAGATGCGGTTTAGGGGGGACCATGAGTTTCATGGAAGATCAAAACCAGAGATCTTCTGTGTTTGGTCTTTCCCCAAGGTATTTTGTGAGTTCTTTTGAACTCCATTCAGATTTCCATGCTTCATCGGGGTTGAATTGGTATTGTTTAAGATTAGGCGTATGGGTCCAAAATGTGGAGCATTGAGATCAGCTGATGTACAGATGCTGGATGTATTATTTCATCACAGGATCATGAGAGATAGCGGTGGCTTGGGAAGCCTTCATCCAGGAAAAAATTTATCATGGCTGGTGATGCATGTGTGTGGCTCTGTGCATTTGCATGGTGAGTGGTGGCACAGTGGCTAGCTTGCTGCACTATTAACCCGGCGACCCGAGTTTGATACCCGCTCATGGCCAGCAGCGCTGACGGGTATCTTAACTGGTTCTGGGCCTTCCCTTGGTCGACTCAGCCTCATGAGGACCTGTGTGCGATGTGAAAACATCACCACTGGGGAGACAAAGGCGGCCAGGCGTGGTGCCGGCCACCCCACCCCCTTGTGTGCCGTGTTGGTCTTCATAGGTGCTACTTGCTTAACAGCACTTGCTCCAACAGCCTGTCAAGGCTGTAAGGGGGATCTTTGTTACATGTATCTGCACGCAGGTATTTGTGCTATTGGCGTCGCTTGTTATAGTTTATGAACATCTCGCAAAATTGTTCATGTATCCTCATGTACAAAGTTATTCGGATAGTAGGATAGAACCTAGGAATCCCCCAACAAAATTTTGCCTTTCCTTAATTAACTGTTACCAGATGCTTAGTTTCAGTTTTATTTGCACAAGTTGGACTACGTTCAGAATGTGGTGCTTTTATTTTGAAATGTAACCCTTGCAAATAACAAGCAGTCAATATTTCTTCTGAACCTTATTTGAGAATGAGTCTACTGACTCATGTTTGCAATGATCATTGTATCAGGTGTCATGCTTGTAAGCGTCACCTTCACATGTAAAATACTTTAATACCTGGATGGTTGTGAAGGTCAATACCGAGGAACAGTATTAAGGCCCTGAACCCAATTGCTCAAGTGCAGAGCATTGGTGCGGTGTGACAAGTATCTTCAAAGCATTGTGTCTTGGCTTAATGCAAGACAGCATTACATTTCGTTAGAAAACCATGTTACAAAGAAGTGGAAATGTTGTTTTCAGTTGCTTCACAAATACATTTTTGGTGGTGTTTATAGATTATATTTGCAAGTCCCCACACCATTATGTGAAGCCTTGTCAAGACTTAATTTTACACAAAACAATCCTATCAGGTTCACATATCCACATTAACAATTAGCATGTTAATAGCCATTTTTATGTATTTCCTGAGTGATTAGTAATGCACTCATTACTTTTTGTTTATGCACCAGTGCACTTTTTATTTACATTTTCTTGCGGGGCTCCATATTGAGCCATTGTAAGTGAATTTCTATTTCTATTGTTGTTAGCTTGTGCATGGTTATATATACGTATACATGATATTATATATACGGATACATTATATTTCTCTCCCTATCTCTCCCAAACCACAATTCCCACCTGCACAATTTTGGAATCGAATTGCAAGCTATTGAGGTTTTCTGCAACGCTATCATATTTAAATGCTCAAATGTTTGCAGTTTGACCTAACATGTCTCAATAAATGTCCTTCAATTGAAACGATGTGACAGTGGTCGCACATGATCATGGTTGTAATCCATTGCGGTGCCCTGTTAAATAGCATACAAAAATAAAATTATATTTGTGATCACTACTACCTGAATGTATATACAGTAATTCAATTTGCACCAGACGTGTTAACCACTTCACTCGCTCTCTATCTTTTGTAGTATTTGTCATTGTCATAAACAGTAATTACAGTACAGTATAACTTTAAGTCATTTGCGAGTGTAGTTGTGATTGGTATAATTATTTATCGTAAATTACAGTTACAATGTTGCTGCAGTCGTTAATTGGTATGAGTGGTTTTAATTAGAAATGGGCTGCCCAATTACAGAAGTAATCGGTTACTTTGCCGATTATTGGCTCGATTCCTCAACTGCTTGGAACACATTCCTGCGGAGGGAGCTGGTAGGAACGTTGGATTGCTCGGTCAACGACGGCGTGGTGTATTCCGCAAATATGCCCGACTGAGGGCGGGCACAAGCCGGCGTGAGTAGGTTAAACGTTGAGTTTTATAAGGGCGCCATGGGGTGACCAGCCCCTCCCCACCCAGCCCCTTCACACCCTCCCCTCCCCACCCAGCCCCACCCTCCCCACCCAGCCCCTCCACACCCTCCCCTCCCCACCCAGCCCCACCCTCCCCACCCAGCCCCTCTCCACCCAGCCCCACCCCTCCCATTTTAGGATGCACGACGGACGGACACAATAATCCCCTGTGGGCTGGTGTAACCAGGAGGTTCCTACCAGTATAACATGAAAATAGTTGGGTTAAAAAAATGTGTCACCTGTCCCCCCCCTCATATGTGTGCCACTGGTTGGGAGGTGATAGATTGGGGTCTTGGTAATGTCTTTGGTATTATCAGCCGCATGTGGCTTCTCAGGGTTTTTTTCCTGACTTCGGGAGTAATTGATAACAAAATAAGTAGTGGATTCAAATTTTTAGTCGATTAATCATCGACTACTTGTTCGAGCTCTACCATTACTGTAATAAACTATAGTATATCTGCATTTGTTAATTGCTATAATAGTTTTAATATTAATAATAATTATATTGCCCTCGTTATTACTGTATTAAATTGAGATTGCAGCAGTTAATTGTGATAATAGCAAGTAAATAATAACGTTGACAACTTGATTAAGACGAAGAAAATAAATATGGTCACGAACCTTTTATTTAAAACACTGTTGGTCTCTACAAGTTTCTAAATTCACACTGCAACAATGCTTATGATCAGCATTGCAGTTAATTGCTGTTATAATAATGATTTATTTTTGATAGGTTACCCCTCGAAGCGCTCTACACGTGATAAGTGACTTTAATCTTATCTTAAATATTTTAAAGGGCACTCTGCACTGGAAGCCATCTCGTTGCTGCACAAGGTGATGCAGCACCTGGCCTCTGAGCAGGCATTAATTTTCCAGTAGGAGGTGTTAATTGCGATGTGCAATTTTAATAGAGTAATTTGCGGGTAATTATCGATCTGTAACAAAATTATGATCATGATGACGGCACACAATGACCAACTAATTTCAAGCTGCTGTATGGAAACAATGGGCATATTCATTTTTATCGATAAAAGGCAGTTGGTCATAGGCAGGGTGTAACTACATAGTCTCGAGCGAGGACTTAAGCTGGGGCACCGAGTCGACACTACACATCACATCACGGGTGGTCTGAGTTCCAGACCCTTGGGGCAGCAGAGGGAAACGAACAAACTCCCACTGAGCGAATGTTGACTTGGAGAATCAACACAAAGCCTTGATTTCTGGAGTAGAGAGGGCATGTAAGAGAATTGAGTGAGATGAGAGGGGAGAGATTGGTAGGGGCGATTCCATGGAGGATCTTGATGGGATTTTAGACCATTTGGAGCTTGGAGATCATGAGATATTTGTGGAGGCTATAGAGAGTTGCAATAGTTTATTCTGGATGTGATGAATGTGACAGTAATGCGACGAATAATCTATGTATATAAAATAGCTATTTGCAGCCACTCCATTTTAATAACTGCGTCACACACACTGTCCAAAGTCAACTTTAAAGCGACATTGAACATTATGATAGGGTCAAAAACGCCCCAAACCATCCTGTAGGTGTAGCTGCCTTGTTACAACTATAAACGTGGCAAAATGTTTACTAATTGTGTTGTACATGCAGTTTTGTGATTGTTTTTATTCACCTGTAACAGATGTTGAAGCTCATTAAAACACTATTTAGTTTCCTCTAATAAAAAATTC